GGGAAAGTAGAGTTTCTTGGATGAATTTGGGTGCTCATTCGTTTGGTGAATAGATGTTTAGAACTGTAATATCTTCCTGAAGGAGAGATCCTTTAATTTCTATGTAGCAACCTTCTTTATTTCTTCTCACAAATTTTAATTTGAAGTCTATTTTATCTGATATTAGTTTTGTTTTGTTTTTGCCAGTCCCGGGGCTTGAATTCAGGGCCTGAGCCCTGTCCCTGAGCTTCTTTTGTTCAAGGTGAGTGCTCTACTGCTTGAGCCACAGCACCAACTCCAGCATTTTTTTCTGTGTATGTGGTACTGAGGAATCAAACCTAGGGTTTCATGCATGCTAGGCAAGCACTCTACCACTGAGCCACCTTCCTAGCCCTTTTATCTGATATTAGGATTGCAATTCCTGCCTGTTTCTGGGGGCCATTTTCTTGGTAGATATTATTCTAGCCTTTCACTTTCAGAATGTGTTTGTTTTTATGGGCAAGGTGTGATTCTTGAAGGCAGCAGATGGAAGGATCTTGCTTTTTAATCCAACTAGGCAGTCCATGTCACTTAATTGGAGAGTTTAGTCCATTAATGTTGAGAGTTAGGACTGAGAGGTGTTTGGTAGTTCCTTCCATGTTATTCATCTTCTTGGGGGCTGTGACAGCTTAGTTGTTCCTATGGTTCTTGTATTCTCAGTTTGGGTGCAGTTTCTTGGCCTTTATTGTGTTGTTGGTTTCTATGTGTAGCACATCTTTAAGTATCTTTTGTAGGGCTGGTTTGGTGGAGATATATTGTTGCAGTTTTTCTTTGCTAGGGAAGGTTTTTATTTGACCTTCTGTTATAAAGGAGAGTTCAGCTGGGTACAGTATTCTTGGTTGATAGTTGTTTGTTTTTAGGGCATGGCATACATCATTCCAGGCTCTTCTTGCTTTGATTGTCTCTGCTGAGAAATCTGAGGTGATTCTAATTGATTTCCCTTTATTATTAATCCTTTCTCTGTGACAGCTTTAAGGATCCTTTCCTTGATCTGAATCGATCCTGTGCATATTATAATGTGATGGTGGGGTGTCCTGTTCCGGTCTGGTCTATTTTGGGTTCTAAAAGCTTCTTGTATCTCAATAAGCCTATCTTTTTGCATGTTTGGGAAATTCTCTGTTAGCATCCTGTTAATAAATTTCCTAGACCTTTAACTTCTGTCTCTAGGTGCTTCTCTACACCCATTATCCTCAGATTAGGCCTGCTGATGGTGTCTTCCAAATGTTGAATAGATCTATCGTATTTCTTGGATTTGTCTTAGATAGTTGTATGTTCTTTCTCTATAATATCTAGGCTGTCTTCAGTCCCCAAGATTCGATCTTCTTCATGGTCTAACCTACTGTCAAGATTTTCTACTTTGTTTTTTATTTCCTTTCCTTCTAATTGGTCAGCTTTGATGGCTTCAGATTCTTTGTTTGAGCTTTGTTTTCCATCTTGTATGAACTTCTTTACTTCCTTAATTTGGTATTCAGTGTTTACTCTCAAATACTTGGTTGATTGGTTATGGTTTTATTGGACTCTCTTTCCTTCTGATGGGCTCCATTCAGCATTCCCTTCGTGGTCTCCCTGGAGTCCTTCAGCTGTCGGTTTATGGATTCCATGAATGCCTCTATTGATCTTTGCCTTTTCTCATCCTGCTCATGCAATTCCTATATTATTCTTTCATTAGCTTCCTCACGCTCACGCAATTCCTTTATTTCTTTTTGACTGTTCTCAGCCTGCTCATGGAATTTCTGTCTTTCTCTTTGAATGTTCTCAGGCTGCTCAAGCAATTCCTGTATTAATCTTTGAGTAGATTCCTCAGGCTCATGAAATTCCTATAGTAATTTTTGGTTAGCCTCATGCTCACGAAGTTCCTGCATTAATCTTTGGTTTGCGTAGTGTCGCTCCCTATCACGCTCACACTGAGTCCTTTGCAAGTTTTCAATCTTTTCATTCACCATGTTTACCAGTAGTGTTTATAGAGCTTTTTGGGAAGTCTCTTCTAGATAATTCATTAATTGTTCTGTCACCTGATTATTCTGAGTGGGAGCTGAGATACCCGGACTTGTCATTTTTCTTGTGTTTCTCCGGCTTGTTCTGCCCATTTTAACATCATCTTATATGGTCATATTTACATAGCTTTTGACCTATTCTGCTTGTCTTAGACATATTAGTTATTGCAAGTAAGGGAAACCATGGGACCTATGTTTCTTTGGGCCTAGCTTACTTCACTTAATATAATTTTTTCCAAGTCTTTCCATTTCCTTACAAATGGGTCGATGCCATTCTTTCTGATGGAGGCACAGAATTCCATTATATCTCTATCTATCTATATAAATACATATATATTACATTTTCTTGATCCATTCATCTACTGAGGGTCATCTGGGTTGGTTCCCTATCTTTGCTATGGTAAATAATGATGCAATAAGCATAGTTGTGCTGGTAGCTTTAGTATAGCCTTGTTTGTGATTGTTTGGGTAAATGCCCCAAAGCAGGATTGCTGACTCATAGGGGAGCTCTGTGTAGTGCCTCCAGTGATTTAAGGATCTCCCATAAAGCTACACTTCCAAAAGGCCTATCACAACACCCCATAGCACCACCCCAGGAACAAAGTCTTTCTAACACACCAACCTTTAAGAGACCTTTCACCTCTAAACTATAACAAAAAGTATGTCATTTCTATGACTGGGTTATAAAAAGCACAATCTCCCTCTGTCTCTTGAATCACTATAGATAACTTATCTCTTCTTATTTTGAGAACTCCCACCCCAGCATCCAGTACTATGTCCTTAATTTGTGCTGGTGAGTGAAGAAATGAATGGATGAATTATGAAAGCACTTAAGTCAGACCACAATGTGATCATTTATTCTAAACTAGGAGAGGAGAAATTACATCTGCAACATTAATAGGATTTATTTTCTTGGGAATTCCATTTCTCCCACCAAGGGTCTTTCTAGTACTGATAGGGCAGTAGAGAATAGAATAAATTAATTTTTTTATAAAAAGATGACTGAATTTATTGATTCAAATCAAGACCTCCATCTAAAGGCCTACCATGAAAAATGTAAACATTTATGTTACACAAAGAATTATACAAAAGAAATAACAAGAATATCCAAAGTAACCATTTATTATAAGAGTTTTTCATACAATTCAACATTCCATTAAGGCTAAAGTCAGGACCTTACAATTCTACTGATTTATAAGGGCACATGTCAGATTAGTTGATGTGCTCTCTGGGTTAACATGAATTGTCTCTTTACTAAAGATGCTGGGATTATGTGTCTCCTGCTATCCTGATCTAGTTTCCTTCCTGGAGTGGTGGAATGCAACAGGAATACAAATACAGGTTGCTCTGCAGGATGAAGAGAACTACAAAAGGAAATGTGACTGAAAAGTGTAAAAGTGGCAGCTTACCACAAGAGGGGGATCTACATTCAAGAGAGAAAAGTTGGTCAGTGTGTGGTTGGATGACTTCTCCATTTTTGAAGTTGAGGGTTGGGGGGTGGGGGAAAATACATCTTCATCTTTAGATTCACAGTTAAACACTCCCATAAAAGTAAGAAATGACATTTTACAGAGCTCCAAGCCTCTTCAAGAGAGTGGAGAGTGGGGAAATGTATTAGCATTTCATTAAGTCTTCTTTCATCTACCCTGTCTGCTGTTCTGGATAAAGCTACTCCCTGTAGAGGTGGATTGAGAGACACTAAGGGCAACACTCAGTGTCAGTGTCCTGGTAGGAAAGATGAAAGACATTTGAACCAGAGCTACATGAGTTCCAATTCTGGCTCTGCCTACTGTTAGGTGTACAACATTTGAGTGATTTAATTTCTTTAAGCAAGAGCTGGGAGCTGGTGGTACATTCCTGTAATACTTTGCAGGATACTGAGGTCTAAGGATCCAAGTTTGAAGCCAGCCTAGGCAGAAAAGTCCCTGAGATTCTTATCTCTGATTAACCACCAAGAAACCAGAAGTAGAGTGCCAACTTTGAGTGAAAAAGTCTATCAACAGCACAAGCCTGAGTATTGGCACACACACACAAAATTCCTTTAGCTCTGAGTTTACTCACCTTTAAGCTATAAAGTGATTAAATTTGTGATTAAATGAGATGTATTTAAATTGCTTATCCTAGTGTTTTACATACATGTGTTTAATAATTAAGTGCCATGATTATTTTTGTTTCCTTATTATTTAATTATATTGTCTCTAAGCAGGTAATTCTTAGTCTTTAATAATTCCAGATCAGGAATTGGATTTGTGTGTATGCATACATATATGTACATGTACAGATATATATTCATATATACATATATATGTGTGCATTACATATACATACATGTAATATTGTAAATATCAGGAATTGTTTGTATATATGTATCAAATATATATACACATATAGAACTTATATCTGTATATATAGGTATATTTGTACATATATACATATATGCTGATTTGTTTTTTCTGTTTCACAGTAAAAATTTAGGTAACCTGAGACATATTGTTCTTTTGAATGGTTAAATAAAGACAGAAAAAGCAAAACAAAATGAGTAAGTAGAAAAGGAGGTGTGATACTAGGCATACAAATATGAAATAGACTCAAACAGCAAAAGTATTGAAAGACTGGTTGACAGAAAAAGTAAAGACTTTTTTTCTTAACTGGGAAAGGTCAAGGGTAACATAAAATTCTTAATGTAAACAGAAGTAGCACTAATTACAATTAACTCTTAGGAGGGACCATGCTACTTTACATCTATTATGTCAACTCAATGTACCTCAGATATTGACTTTAAGACACTCTGTAGAAAATACTCTTCCACAACTCACTAAGTCTTTCATAAGATGAGCAAAAAATAGTCAGGAATTGGTGGGCTGCTTGAACTTGCATGGTTTGCAAAGGGTTACTCGGTTTTAGTGGAAGATGGTACATCATTTAGTGGAAGGTGGTTTGTGGTTCGAAGGACCCACACTTAAAAGGAAGTCCCAACATTCTGGAAACCATGAACGAATTTTCTCAACTTTATTGTTTAATTTCTTGGGCACCAGTTAGATTCTCTGGTATCCGGATAATTGGCGCTTCAGGCGGATTATATAGACCCCCAGACCCACAATGCAGAGGGCAACCAGGATGGCCCCAATCACAGGAAGCACAACTGTGTAGTCAGAAGAGCACTCGTTCACTAAGAGAGAAAACAAATATGAAATAGCAGGTGAGGTTTGGCAATGACAAGCCAGAAAATAGGCTAGACTAGGAAAAAATAATGCGTGAGCTTTGGAGTCAAAACAAATCTAATTTTGACTTTTCATGACACCGTTAATTTGCTGTGTGATTGGAGGCAGGTAATCAATCCTTCATAAAGTAAGCAGATAATTTATACAAAATGTCAGACTGCTTAAGTAAAATATTTGTCTTATGTTCTCAAAAGTTAATAATGTTCCAAACATTACTAGTAATTTTCTCAACATTGATAATAGCATATATATAGTTGGTTGTGGGGCCTAAACTCTGGGCCTGGGCGCTGTCCCTCAGCTCTTCAGCTCAAGGCTAGTGCTCTACCACTTGAGCCAAGCACCACTTTCGGCTTTTTCTGCTTATGTGGTGCTGAGGAATAGAACCCAGGGCCTCATGCATGCAAGGCAAGCACTCTACCACTGAGCCACCTTCCCAGCCCTGGCACTAATATTTTTAGCCCAAGTTAGTGAGTGCCCTTCAGAGCTGCTCTCTGAACAGGAGGAAATGTCCCTATATCCCAAATGATCCTTCAGGGAACATGGGTTGTTTGTCCAACTTATGAAATATTGCAAGGCTTGAATGTGGGGCCTGGGCACTGTTCCTGAGTGTTTTTTGCTCAAGGTTAGTGCTCTACCACTTGAGGCACACCACTACTTCTGGCTTTGTGGTTGTTAATTAGAGACAAACTCATGGACTTTTCTGCCCAGAATGGCTTTGAACCACGATCCTCAGATCTCAGCCTCCTGAGTAGCTAGGATTACAGGTACGAACCACTGGTTCAAGACTCAAAGGTTTTTTTTTTGGGGGGGGTCCAGTCGTGGGGCTTGAACTCTGGGCCTGGGCGCTGTCCTTCAGCTCTTCAGCTCAAGGCTAGCGCTCTACCACTTGAGCTACAGCGCCATTTCTGACTTTTTTCTTTTTGCATATGTGGTGCTGAGGAATCGAACCCAGGGCCTCATGCATGCAAGGCAAGCGCTCTACCACTGAGCCACCTTCCCAGACCCATCAAAGGTTTTTATATATTGCTTTTAGCTATTTTTTTAGAAGACTAATTTTTTGTGAGAGCTTAAAAGTAAGAGTTTAGATTGCCAAAACTGGTTTTTCTTTATTTCACTAGAGAACACTTAACTCATTTAAAATGAGATTGGTTGGATCAGAAACTAATCAATCTTTTAAAATAATTGCTTTTTATGCTGGGCACCGGTGGCTCACACCTGTAATCCTAGCTACTCAGGAGGCTGAGATCTGAGGATTGCAGTTCAAAGCCAGCCCAGGCAGGAAAGTCTGTGAGACTCTTATCTCCAATAAACCACTAGAAAACCAGAAGTGGTGCTGTAGCTCAAGTGGTAGAGTGCTTGCCTTGAGCCTGAATTGCTGAGAGACAGCACCTAAGACCAGAGTTCAAGCCCCATAACCAACCAAAAGAAATTGCTTTTTTAAGTGCCTTTAAAAATTATCCAAGTAGATTCACAAAGAGATTTCAACTTGACAGTTTATAAGTATAATGCATCCTGATTGATGACACCCATTTCATCATTCTTTCTACCCCCATCTATTTCAACTTCATCCATCCCTTCAAGTTACCTGATTCCATTTTCATATATGTACATTGAATGCAATGAGTTTGTATATAATACAATGTATTTGCCCACCCTCCTTTCTCCATTTGTCTTCCCCTTCCCTCCCCTTAACCTCCTCCCTCTGACAAAATATGCTTCAGTTTCCTGGTATTCATTTTGTTAAACCATACTTTAGTTGTTTAAACAAACTACACCATCGGAATCCTCCCTTGCACATACAGTACTTTAAGCAATTTGTTTGTGTATATGTACATATGACCCTGTATATGTGTTTATAATTTAGATCTAACTTCTACATATGAGAGAAAACATGGGCCCTTTGTTTCTCTGAGTCTGATACTTCACTTAACAGAACTGTTCTCAGGTTCATAATTTCCCTGCAAATGATATAATATTATTCTTCTTGATGAATAAGTAAAATATGCATATAATATATATTCACCATAGACAAGTTATGGAAATCTGGGCTGTTTCCATAATTTGGCTGTGGTTAATAGTGCAGCACTGACTATGGATGGATATCTTTACTGTATCCTGAATTATAATATTTTGAATAGATGGCTTAGTGATAACCCAGAATCATAGAATAGTTTTGTTTAGTTTTTTGAAGAATCTCCATAGTGGCTGCAGTAGTTTACATTCCCACCAACGATGTAATAGGACTTCTTTTTCCCCATATCCCTTCCAGCATTTGTTAAGAAACTCACCAATTTTGACTGGAAAAAGATGACGGAAATGGGGATAAAAAAAATCTCAGTGAAAAAAAGGTCAAATACACAGAGAAATATATATGTACATATGTTTCACTCATAGATATGAAAGTATATGTATATGAGTCAGTATGGAAACTTTGTCCTAAACCAAGGATTACCACTAACTCACTCTTGTGTACCTAAAGTCCAAATAGCAGGCAGGGCATAGAGAATGACAATTAGAGATAATAGAAAAAAAGGAACATTTATATAAGAAAGAAATTGTACTTGTAGTATAGTATATAATTTGGCAGTGGGCACTATTTTTCCTATTTTTCTCCACAGGCCTATATAAAACTTGCATGATGCTCTATGGTCTATGTCAGATATGTCCCTGAGTTAGACTTTTTGTACCAGTTCATCTCTGTGACTCAATATGAACTTTCAACTCCATCTTCAAATATTTATGTCAAGGGAATAATTCAACTATATCTTCATTCCATTTTTCAGCTCTCTAAACAGGCACCAGCTGGCACTATGTCAGATGATCAGAATAACTTCTATTTCTAGTAACTTCTCTATAATGCTTTAAAAAAATCTGTAGTACATATGATTGCTCCAGTGTACTCTGCTATGAAAATACTGTACTTTCAGCACCATCCATTTTGCTCTTGTAGTTTCTGTACAGTATGTGATGGTGCTCTATTTATTTTCTTAGATGTGAATGCTCCTTTTAGCTTATATTTCATTTAACATCTTAACTATGTAACTTCTAGTTATATCAAATTAATTCTTATTAAGTGATACTTAGCATAAAGAAAGTTTCAAGGACTTCTTTGTTTCTTGGCTTTTCTTAGTACTATTTTGTATCAACTGTGTTGGTTTCCAACTTTCTGCTATAAGCCAACTGTCCCCTTCTAAAATTCACAATTGAAATCTTAATCCCTAAGGACCAGAGAAAATGACTATATAGGAAATCAATGTCTCTAAAGAATGAAGTAAAATTAGCTCATGAGTATTATCCACAACCTAACATGAATAGTCCTCATAAGAAGAGGATATTTAGACATTGATAGGTATATAGAGGGAAGACCATATAAAAACCTGGAACATTACAACCAAGGAGAGAAGCCTCAGAAGAAACAATTGATTCCAGTGTGCTGATCTTGGATTTCTAGCCCTTGGACTGTGAAATTAAGTTTCTGTTATTTAAGGCCTTTTGTCTGTGTACTTTGTTATGGTATTCCTAGCAAACCTCCCCTCTTTAATCAATTTAACTTCATAGCATTCTTTTTTTTTTCTCTTTTGTTGGTCACGGGGCTTGAACTCTGGGTCTGGGTGCTGTCCTTCAGCTTGTCAGCTCAAGGTGAGTGCTCTACCACTTGAGCCACAGAGCCACTTCCAGTTTCCTGGTTGTTTATTGGAGATGAGAGTCTCACGGACTTTCCTGCCTGGATTGTCTTTGAACCATGATCCTCAGATTTCAGCCTCCTGAGTAGTTAGGGTTACATGTGTGAGACACTGGTGCCCAGCTCATAGCATTCTTATAGTTATTTTCCTCCACACTGCTTTCATAGAAGACATGCATTTGTGTGTGTGTGTGTGTGTGTGTGTGTGTGTGTGTGTGTGTGTGTGTGTTTAAATCTTGGCTTTTTTTTTTTTGGTCGGTCATGGGGCTTGAACTCTGGGCCTGGGCGCTGTCCCTTAGCTCTTTAGCTCAAGGTGAGCACTCTACCACTTAAGCCACAGCACTACTTCCAGTTTTCTGGTGGTTAATTGGAGATAAGAGTCTCACAGACTTTCCTGTCTGGGCTGGCTTTGAACTGTGATCCTCAGATCTCAGCCCCCAGAGTAGTTAGGATTACAAGCGCGAGCCACCTGGGCCTAGTTTATCTTGGCTGTTCTTGAGCCTGACAGTCTAGAGATTCAATTTCCTGCCATACCTTTTTGGGAAAATTATGTTGATTTTTTTTTCTCATTCTATCTGAGATCTGTCAAAGATTCTCTGTAAATCAATATTTGTATTCTATTCCTTTTTCGTAGAGACAGCCTCTAGTTTGGGGTTAGGTCCCCAGTTCACTTCCATCAGTCCCTGTGTTCACAATTTCTGGTCTTCTAAGAGCAATGTTCATATCCTCAGTCGGAGATGGAAGATGTGTACTCTGCTAGTTTGTTTACTCCAGACTTAAGATTGGCAGTGAGTCCACAGAGCTTTGCTCTGTCATTGTAGGCTTCTTAGGGTGAATATGTGTGTGATGGTGGGAACCTGGCTTGGCTGCTGTCTACTTACCACTGCAGAAAGTGAGAAGAGCTGTGAAGAAGGAACAACACTGAAGCCTCTGCTCTGTGTAGTTACAAAATGTGAATCCAAATCAATTTTAAGGCTAATTTGTGGTGGTAGTAAATATCAATAGTGCCCTCCAAAGAAATCACTGAAGAGCTGGCTGCTAGTGCCTCACACTTGTAATCCTACTTACCCAGGAGGCTGAGATTTGAGGATTGGGGTTTGAAACCAGCCCAGGCAGGAAAGTCTGTGAGAGTCTTATCTACAATAAACTATTCAAAAAAGGCTGGAAGTGGTGCTGTGGTTCAAGTGGTAGAGCACAGGACACTGAAGGACAGCACCCAGGCCCAGAGTCCAAGTCCCAGTACCAGCACCAAAGGAGAAGAGGAAG